AATATAATTTAAATTATAAAACTATTTATTAGTATATTATTACTCCTAGTACTTAAGATGTCGATTACAATCATCTGTTGAGTGATTTATAAGATAGAGTTGCAAGGTAAGATAAATTCAACGGATTGTTATAATGAATATCTTGAATGTCAAGACATCTTGATTGTTATATTTTTGTAAAGAAAAACTTAAAAAATTAAGACATCCATCACAACCATCGATTAAGTAGACCTTAACACCGAAGTCAATGAATGGGTATGATAAGCATCCCGAGCGTAAAAAAATTTCTTGATTTTTTTATCTTTCTTACTTTTATATATATGTATAAAGTCTGGTACAATTACAAAGAAAGGATTATAAATTTGTCTTTTTTCAAATGTAAAACAATCAGAATGTCTCTATCTAGCCCATAGCGTAAACGGCCTAGACAAAAGAAAAACCACAAGATTTCCAGAAAATACTGCCGAATCGAACGGTTTTTACTTTTTATATGAACCAAACGGTTGAAACTTAAACTTCTCCCTAGAAAATAATATTTTAGGGAACCTGTTTGTATAAAATTATTGTATCGTTTAATTATCAATTTTTTTCATATTTATAATACTATATATTTATTTAATTACAAGTTAAAATTGTATATTTATTTTTTCGATGATGTTATAAGATAATTATTTTGTTATATTTTTTTTTATAATTTTTATATATTATTAAATAAAAAAATACATTTAATATTATAAATTTCATATAAATTAAAAAAATTAATTATTTTAATGACATATCATATTATTAAAAAAAAATTATACAAAAATATTTCCATTATTTTTTTTTTCTTCTTATTCACCCAACCGTCTTGTGCAAACCACGTCACTTTCCAGGTCACTCCATCTTGGTAGTTATTTCTGATCACAGTGGCTCCTACCACGAAACTTCCTCAATCAGTTAATTATTTCCTTGAATCTCAATTTAAAATACTCATTTAACAAAAATTGGGAGGGAAACACAGGGAGGTATAAATAAGGGATGGAAAAGGCTCAGCATCCACAAGGAAAGAGTAGCGCACACCTCGATCCCGGCGACAACTTGAATGATTGAACCTTTCTCTTTCCCACTTTTTTCTCTTATTTTCTAGGAAACCAAACACCGCGTTCGAATCCTGAAAGCACCCTGCTTCTTTATTTTCTACTGAGAAGATTTCATCGATGGGGAAACAAGGCAAAGAATACAGAAAGGGAGAAATGATAATCTCCAGGCCGATCGAACGAGATATTTATCCTGCTTGGGCAAGGGATATACAGGAATGCGAGAAACACTACCAGGTGTATGGGAAATTGGGCCTGAAACCTGCGGAGGTTGAAGAGCGGCGCAAGAAATACGGTTACAACGAGTTGGACGAGCACCAGGCGCCGCCAATTTGGAGGTTGATTTTGGAGCAGTTCAACGATACGCTGGTTCGAATCTTGCTCGCTGCGGCGGTGATTTCTTTTGTTCTGGCTTGGTATGATGGCGAGGCGGGAGAGGAGAAGGAGATTACGGCGTTTGTGGAGCCGCTGGTGATTTTCTTGATCCTGATTGTGAACGCGATTGTTGGAGTTTGGCAGGAGAATAATGCGGAGAAAGCGCTGGAGGCACTGAAGGAGATTCAGTCGGAGCACGCGACGGTGATTCGCGATGGAGAAAAAATTCCTCATGTGTCTGCAAGGGAGCTTGTTCCGGGCGATATTGTGGAGCTGAAAGTCGGTGATAAAGTCGCCGCCGATATGCGTGTTCTGGAGCTGGTTAGCTCCACCGTACGAGTGGAGCAAGGTTCATTGACCGGAGAGAGCGAAGCGGTTAGTAAAACAACCAAGGCGGTTGCCAAAGACGCCGATATTCAAGGGAAGAGATGTATGGTTTTTGCAGGTACTACCGTGGTGAACGGGTATTGTATCTGTATGGTTACTCAGATCGGAATGGATACAGAAATTGGGAAAGTGCACTCTCAAATTCAGGTAGCATCTCAGTGCGAAGAGGACACGCCCTTGAAGAAGAAACTGAATGAGTTTGGAGAGGTCCTTACCATCATAATTGGAGTAGTGTGTGTCTTGGTGTGGATAATCAATGTGAAGCACTTCTTTAGTTGGGAGTATGAGAATGGCTGGCCGAAGAATTTCAGGTTTTCCTTTGAGAAATGCACGTATTATTTTGAGATAGCTGTGGCATTGGCTGTGGCAGCAATTCCTGAGGGATTGCCTGCTGTTATCACTACTTGCTTAGCTCTTGGCATAGGCAAAATGGCTCAAAAGAATGCACTTGTGAGGAAGCTCCCAAGTGTTGAGACATTGGGGTGTACCACTGTGATTTGCTCTGATAAAACTGGGACCTTGACCACCAATCAGATGGCTGTGGCAAGGCTTGTGGCTGTGGATAGCACTTCCGATAAACTGCGGAGCTTCAAGGTTGATGGAACTACTTATAATCCCTTTGATGGGAAAATACATGACTGGCCAAGTGATGGAATGGATTCAAATCTTCAAACCATTGCAAAGATTGCTTCCATATGCAATGATGCTGGCATTGTGCAATCAGAGCACCAGTTTGTATCCCATGGAATGCCTACAGAGGCAGCTCTAAAGGTAAGGCCCTGGTATTTTTGGTTTCTTTCTCATAGATTCTTCCTTAATATCTACTATTCTTGCAAATGCATATTATATGTGAGGGTTTCAATGGTTAATTGAGATGGTGTACCGTCATTTCAGGTTCTAGTTGAGAAAATGGGCATCCCAAATGGATGTAATACCGATGGATTAAGTGGCACTAATGTTCTACGTATGTCAATGCCTTTCTTTTTTTCTTTTTTTTTTTTTTGTGTAAAGTGATTCCTTTCCAATTTATTTCCGAGCTTCAAGCTTTTTTTGAACTAAATATGTTGCACATCCTCTGCTTTAAAGGCTGTTGCCAATGGTGGAATGAATATGAACCAAGGATTGCAACTCTTGAGTTTGACCGTGATAGGAAATCCATGGGGGTAATTGTCAATTCCAGTTCAGGAAAGAAGTCATTGTTAGTGAAGGTAATATTTCTATCAACTACCATTTTTCTTTATGTACCACTTGTGGAATACTTCAGAGTTTTTTACATGAAGTGCTTGCTTTGGCAGGGAGCAGTAGAAAATTTATTGGAGAGGAGCTCCAATATGCAGTTGCTTGATGGTACTGTTGTACCACTGGATCCTGATTCAAGGAACCTTATCTTAGGGTCTCTTCATGAAATGTCCAGTGCTGCATTGCGATGCTTGGGTTTTGCATATCAAGATGAGCTCCCAGAGTTTGAGACGTATGATGGTAGTGAAGATCATCCATCTCATGAGCTTTTACTTAATCCTTCCAACTATTCTTCGATTGAGAGCAATCTCACTTTTGTTGGCATGGTTGGTCTGAGGGTGAGTTGCAAAACGTTCAGCATAAACATTGCTTGATTTCTAATCGTTGAATCATTTTCTTTTTCTTTAATCAACTTTTGTGTCTTTAATTGTTCACAGGATCCTCCTCGTGGGGAGGTTTTCCAAGCAATTGAGGACTGTAGGGCAGCTGGAATTCGTGTTATGGTCATCACTGGAGATAACAAGTGCACAGCTGAAGCTATATGTCGTGAAATAGGTGTTTTTGGACCAGAAGAAAATATCAGCTCAAGAAGTTTAACCGGCAAAGAATTTATGGAGATGGTGGTGTGTGATCAGAAAGCCCATTTGAGACAAAGCGATGGGCTTCTCTTTTCTAGAGCTGAACCAGGGCATAAACAAGAGATTGTAAGGCTGCTAAAAGAAGATGGGGAGGTGGTTGCCATGACAGGTGATGGAGTAAATGATGCACCTGCATTGAAACTGGCCGATATAGGAATTGCCATGGGCATTGCTGGAACTGAGGTATATATTGTGCCTTTATTTTTCTATGCCACATTATTTTTCACATTTAACATTGGCATTGTTGATTTTTACTCCTTTACAGGTTGCAAAAGAAGCTTCTGATATGGTGCTGGCCGATGACAATTTCAGTACAATTGTTGCTGCTGTTGGTGAAGGCAGATCTATTTACAACAACATGAAAGCCTTCATCAGGTTTGTCCCTAGGCTTGGCAGCTGTATTTGAAATTTAAAAAGCTTTGTATACAGAAAAAAGATATAGGATCATCATTATAGTTGTATTCTTCTCCCCTCCCTAACTGTCTCGTTTGGTTCCTCATTGAATATGTTAAGAGACAGTCTACGTGCCTTATCATTTAAAACAAATTTCAGGTACATGATCTCGTCAAATATTGGCGAGGTAGTCTCCATCTTTCTAACTGCAGCCTTGGGAATTCCAGAAGGCCTTATACCTGTCCAGCTTTTGTGGGTCAATCTTGTCACTGATGGACCACCTGCAACAGCTTTGGGATTCAATCCTCCTGATAAGGACATAATGAAGAAGCCCCCTCGCAGAAGTGATGACCCACTCATTACTGCTTGGATTTTATTCCGCTATCTGGTACAAGTCTTCTCTAGTTTCTTCCACTTGAAAATTTTAGCATTAGAGTTTGGCTTGATCTTCTTGCGCACATTCCTTATTAGATTTCACTAGGATTGAGTTATTTGTCTACTTTTTTATTACCCTGCACAGGTCATTGGACTATATGTTGGAGTAGCAACCGTTGGTACATTCATAATTTGGTACACATGTAGTTCCTTCTTAGGCATAGATCTCAGTGGTGATGGCCACACCCTTGTCACCTACTCACAGCTTGCAAATTGGGGCCAATGCTCATCTTGGGAAAATTTCGAAGTTTCATCTTTTAAAGCGGGGGGTCAGGTGTTCACCTTTGACAATAACCCCTGTGATTATTTCCAGGGCGGCAAAGTAAAAGCAAAGACTCTATCCCTCTCTGTGTTGGTTGCCATTGAAATGTTCAATTCTCTCAACGCCCTTTCTGAGGATACCAGCCTCCTGAAAATGCCCCCATGGCTCAACCCCTGGCTCCTGGTAGCTATGTTTGTCTCATTTGGCCTGCACTGCGTGATCCTCTATGTGCCCTTCCTAGCTCATGTATTTGGCATTGTGCCATTGAGCTTTAAAGAGTGGCTCTTGGTTCTGGTTGTTGCATTCCCTGTGATTTTGATCGATGAGATCCTGAAGTTCGTAGGAAGGTACGCCAGTGAGATTCAGACAAACTTGAAAAAAAGATGTTCAAAGACCAAATCCGAGTGAGACAACCTGCAGCCTGTTACATGGATAAGTCGGTAGGCTGCCTTCTCTTATATAATATCATGAAACTATCTCAATGATGATATAACAGTGTACTTTCTTGGTTCCATCCATAATCCTTATCAATTTTAAAATGAAGGATGGTTTAGAACATGAAGAACTAGACATGTTCACATCATATATACTGTACCCCTTGCATTGCCCTTCTTTTCTACACTCGGCTTTTGTTAAAGCCTCAACCTTATAAGTTAATATAAATACAATAAAGAAGTATTGGGTATATTTGAAATGTGGGACTGTTAATTTCTGGCGTTTGTTGATGATTTTCTTTTCAATAACCTTATGTCAGATTGAAAAAGAGGGTTGATTAAATTTGGAAAATAATAAGATAAATTTTGCTGCATCAAATTGTCAAGGTCTCTTACAGATAAACTAACCAAAAACTGAAAGCTGATCATACTTTGTAGCTGCCTTAGCTCTTACCGTCCCTTTTACCTACCTAAACTAGCAACAACTTCCACGTGAAGTGTGAAATGGTAAGACAACAGAATCAACTAAATGTGTAATTAATTAATCACGCTGTAACCTTAAAGATTGGATTCATTAGTAAATATTTTATTGTAGTTAGCTGCAAATTAAAGTCTTGCGATCAATACATAAGAAAATCAATTTTTTAAATGCATTAGATTAATGTAAGATAAGTACTCTTAAAATCATTAGAATATCCTGACTATAAATACAAAATAATAATAATAATAATAATAATGATGTTCTATAGCTCCAAACCTAACTCAATTAATAAAAATTTGAGATTTTAGATTACTAATCTTATATTGAAAGTTTGAGATGAATTTGAATAAATTTGAGAAATTGAAAACAAATGTAACTATCTTTTTAATTAAATAATTTATTATTAAATGTATAAAAAGATAATACTTTTCATCGAATCAACATGTTCGATCATAACATACTCAAATTAACTAAGTTAAAACGTGCTACAAGTAAAGAGGTGATTTGGTCTCCCTTGCCTAAAGCCTGATGTTCATCAAGATTTCCCAGTGATTTTCCTTTTCCATCTTCCTTGCTGCAGTCAAATTTCTTTAAAATAAAATAATCTCTTAAGTTACGTAACATAAATATAACACATCTTAATTCATCAAGTAATTGTAAGTTTTCTATAGTTTAGGTTTAATACATTTCTTGTACTTCTTATTTCAGAGCAGACGAACAGCCTCAGAAATTGAGTCCACAGCAGATATAACAATCTCACACCAAACATGTGTATATCTTTGCCTTTCTCAACTCCAATTAAATTCCAAACCCAAAACCCCCCGTTTTTTCTACTGGGGTTTCGTGAAGAAAACGAAACGTGTGGAGATGAATTAGGAAGGTGTTTGGCCATCCCCATATGACATGATATCATCAATTACCAACGCCAAAAGAATTGTTTATAAATTAAATATTACCATTAAGTATTATCTTCAGTTGAACATTCCAACAATGTACAACACAACAATGCACTATGCCAAGTTTCCAACAACGTACAACACAATTTGGCGCCAAATTAATGTTGGTGAAAACGATATACTTTGATTTTGACATCCCACCATACTTATGTATGGACTCTTAACTCAAACACTTCTAAGGATGTTCGTGAAATATTTTCATTTCTACACCAATTAGACTATTAATTTGGAATTAATAATAATATCAACA